CTGCGTTGTCCCCACATTTTCACTCTTTGTATCCCCTTGTAGCAAGTCTCCTAATACATACATGCTGAGAGTTTGAATAGGTTTGATATCTTAGGAGAAGTGGAAGTGAGGGACCATAGACTAAATTTCATGTAATATGAAAATTTCATGTAACAAATATCATGGAATATTGCACTTAGAAATACAGATGACTAATCCTATGGTTTACAAACAAATAAAAGCAAAGGATCGAAACTTTGTCTTGCGCAGAGCTGTATTAAGCTGTGAGGATAAAAATGTATAGTGCGCTAGTGAATTTTTTTCAGAATCACCTGTTATTAAGTAATTTTTGTTCCAGGAACAAAAACTGTACCCCATATGTCCAGTAAAGCAGTATCAATAAATAAATAAACATATCTGTAGACCATGACTGAATCTTGGTTCAAATAAATCAATTATAAAAACATTTAAACTGTTAGGGGAATTTATATATGGACTGTGATTAGATAATATTAAAAACTTTTGAGTTAACTTAATAGCACTGTGGCTATTTTTTAAAATCCTTTTTTTAAAAAATGCATGAAAAGGGCGCCTGGGTGGCTCAGTTGGTTAAAGCGACTGCCTTCGGCTCAGGTCATGATCCTGGAGTCCCGGGATCAAGTCCCGCATCAGGCTACCTGCTCAGCAGGGAGTCTGCTTCTCCCTCTCCCGCTCCCCCCTCTTGTGCTCTTTCTCTCTCTCACTCTCTCTCTCAAATAAATAAAATCTTTAAAAAAAAAAAATGCATGAAAAGATATGAAATCTTATATTGATTGCCTTGATTATTTTAGCAAAAAATAAGAAGGCACAGATGAATCAAGCGTGGCAAAATCTTGACAAATATTGCCTATATCAGGTTCATTCTACTATTTCTCTACTTTCGTGTATGTTTGAAAATTGTCATCATCATCATCACCACCATCAGGCACACGATTTACGAACAGAGGCAGACTAATAAAAGCAGGTAGACATTTGGCAGTGATAAGGAAAATGTCACTCTATAATCCTTCCATATCCCATAACTGGATTATTTTTCTCTCTATAAGTAGCTAGACAAGTTCCAGTATTTTATCAGCAAGATAACCATTAAATGCATTATACTCCATATCCGTGAGGACAGCAGATACTAACTTGTATTCAGGGAGTTTACACCAAGACAATATTACTAAATCAACTTAGTTGATTTAAACAGACTATCAAACGCCCCCACCTCCCACCCCCCAGCCTGCCCAGTGGGGTGCCTCGGTGGCCCAGTAGGTTAAGCAGCTGCCTTCGGCTCGGGTCATTATCCGGGGGTCCTGGGATCAAGCCCCCCATTGCATCGCATCGGGCTCCCTGCTCAGCAGGGAGTCTGCTTCTCCCTCTCCCTCTGCCTCCCCCCCACCCCCGCTCTCTCTCACACACACTCTCTCTCTCCCTCTGTCTCTCCAATAAATAAAATCTGAAAAAAACAAAACAAAACAGCCTGCCCAAAACAAAATGAGTATTGAAAATGATATTCAAAATTCTGTCACAAAATATTATCCCACATTTTCTATAAATGTGAGAGATTTAATATTGATGCAAACAATGTTGTACCAGTATCAACATGGTTAATCAAGTCTCACAGAAAGAATTCCAAAAGTAAAATCAGAGGGAAATGTTAGGCAGCCTGAATTCTCTCTGAATTGGCATAACATCAGAGGTTTCATTATAGCATTTTGTCCTCTGTGTGTGTTTGGGTGGAGGAAGAGATGGGGACTGGGGCTAAGACATATAGGGCAAGGGAGAAATTTAGCATGGGGGCTTAATTAACAATAGGCCACGTGACCCCAAATCCCTACGTGTGATGCATGCTGGAGTGGGGCAAAGGGGAGGACCTGAGGACGTGGTATGCATTTCCCGTGCAGATGTTGCTAAGTCAGGCCAGTGGCACATTCTAGAGGATAGCGCCAAAATGACTGAGCCATGGCTTCTATTTATTTGTATTGTTTGGGACACCTCTAGGACAAGCGCAAACTCGGGCCTTTCTTCCTGCCTGTTGACTTTTGGTGCTAAGCATTCAAAATGTCCTACTAATCTAATGCAATTTATAGTGGAACTGATCTCCGGTTCTGAAAATGGCATAATGAATTACATTCATTACAAGTACAATCCTAATTACTAACTAATTGAGGTCTATTGCACAGTAAATCCTCAAAATCAGTCCAGTATCCAAGGATGAGGTGGGTGGCTCTTAGCAGTCAATGGTCCCTTGCACTATTTACAACAGAGTAAGATAAAAGGTGACAAAATCTCAATCAGACCATGTTTCTGGGTCTGAGAGGCACCTGTCCCATGGCTGGAGTGGTGAAGCACATCCACCTTCAGAAAACAAACTAGGGTAGAGGGTAACTACATTGTCCACTGACGTTGAATGTTCAGTGTAACACAGTTACTCACAGAGGGGGAGAAAGATTTATCCTCAGTGTTGTAGTAACGTGAGGAAATGCCCTTAAAGCTGGAAGAAGGTGCAATAACAGGGCTTCTTAAGGAGATCTTGCTCATGATCCTATCTGAAGCTCAATCAATAAAGGAGACCGTTTTTTAGTAGGAGACCCAGCAGAAGATGGCTGAAGACAGGAGAGAACGATTTAACCACAAAGATAATATTTCCCTAGGTTCAGCTTTCAGTTGGCTTATTAATAAAAGCACAAGAGAAATATAATGCAAGAGGGGTTTAACTGGAGAGAGAGAGACTCAAAAAAAAAAAAGGGTGTCCAAAAATATGCTGCATCAAATAAAAGAGCAGAGAAGAAATATCTGGTGCAGAAAATAAACAAACTATTTTCCCTGTTTAGCCACTCTCTCCCTCTCAGTTTCCCGAACCTATCGTCAGCACTATAGCACTCAGACATCTCCAGATCACACCTGCACTTCTGGGACCCTTGGCCTGCCTGTGACCCTTGCGTCAACTTGGACCCGCTCAGCGCTGACTGGGGCTCTTGTTGGCAGCCATACAGAGACCTGAGGCTCCAGAGGCAGAAGACTGCAGCGGCTGTTTCATCACCCTCGGCCAGTCTGTCTAGGAGGAAGATATTCTCTCTCTGCCGACTCCAAACACCAGGGTGTATCAACAAGGCACACACCCCATACCAGGGCTACCCACGCAGGATGTAAATCAGGATGGGAGCGGAGGTGCATACCATGCACAGTTGTGGGATCAACAGAGATGAAAGCAGCATGTATCAGAGACTAAATTAGATCCCACGTGGTCCTTTGCTTATGCACCTACTTGAGCATTTATCACAGTGAGCTGTCGGATACCTGTCTCCTCACAGGAACCATAGCTTAATCATCTATAGATATCTCATCAACCTTACAGGTAGCAAAGGCTCAGTAACTGCAATAGTCATTGCCAATTTCATGGTTAAAAGGAGGGACAGCTACTCTGAGTGAAAGAAGATAAATTTGGTAGCCTTTAGCCTTACTCTAAACCGTTATGGTTTATATTTTCTCCTCTTGTTCACTTCCACTCTTTCCTGGAGGTATCGTGGAAAAGATAGATGCATGACAAAAAAAAAAAAAAAAAATCCAACAAGTGATAATATTCACTTCAGTACAGGCTAAAAAATCTAAACCAATGCTAAGGACACCCTCACCTAGTGATTTTTAATCCTCTTAACCTACCAAATTGGAACACCTTGTACCCTTTTAAATTCACGGCCCAAGACATGCATCACCACCACCCCAATCCATAGGGCTCCATAGAATTTCACTCAAGATCAGTGACAGACCAAAGTCTCACCAAGTACAACAGAAAACCAGCAATAAAGTTTGTTGTCTCCTTAAATCATAAGGATACACATTTAAAAATGTACCCAGAAAAATCAAAAATTAGTAGATCTGCTATGTCCAAGAGAAGGTATCTGACAACAAAAAGAAGATTGTGTATAGCCAGAAATATCTGATCTTGGTAAAATGTTACTGGTGCTAATACTTGATGTTTAAGTATACACATAAAGATCTACTAGTTGTTTCAATCATTTGAACATAACAATCCAATTACACAAAATGAGCAGATGTTTTCACTCAAATACTTTATTTCCAAAATGCACTGTGGTATACAGTTTCTATAGTTTCTCTCAGACAAGCCTCCAGAAGATAAAGTCCTCCTAGTGAAGTGTTTGACATTTTGATTATCTTTAATCCTAAATTAGATGGGCACAAATTGTTTCTACATTATTTTTGAAAAACACATAAAGGCTTATTAGTCTTTCAATTAAGTCAAGTGACTTATTTATTCTTAATTTCATAGTCGTCCCTTCTGTAGAATTCTACTTCCCTACGAACCCCGTGTCTTAAACAATTCTTAAAATTCTTACCCAAAGTAAAAGGGTTTATTGGAACAACGGCAAAGCACTAATAGGCACAGGCACTAGTGAGCTCACTTGACTTTAACTCAATTCTAACAAAAATTAACGAGTGTCTTTACTACAGGACTTTTCTGAGCCTTTGTTACTATGTAATATTACTTTCCAAAAGCAAGGTGTCACATGTGGTGATTCCCAAGCTTATTTCACGGGGGGAGTAATTATTTATTTCATGCATTACCAATCAGCATTTAGTAGGAAAGGGTTTACCTTGAAGAACATTTTTGAGAACCACAAATTAGAATAAGGTGCTAATAAAACCTCAAAAATAGGTTTCACTCCAAGATAGTCCAATTAGCATTATTTTCTTAAACCATTAACTACATCTTTAAAACTACAGGCAACCACCTTTAAATGTATGCTTTTAGAAATGCCCTATAAGAACACATAGATGAACTAGCACATTATTACCACCTTCACAGTGAAAACTCATTGAAAACTCAGGCAGCTGCTATTTTGCATAAAGAACAAAATTATGAATGACCCAAGGCCTATAGAATGCATTGCTTTCTATCTCAAGTTCAAACTGGGTAGATGTAAATTTATCCAATTTGGATATCTTAACCATCATAAATGAAAAAGAAGACTTACCAACAGAAGCTGAGTTTTTAAGACCCGACTCCTTTGGGACTCCTTTTTCAATTCGAATTGTGGCCCACTGTTTAAAAACAAATAGTGTTGTTAATGCAGACTGTTCCACAGACATGATGTAAAATACTCAAACCTTCCTTACACAGAAATGAAATTAAACATTAAGCCCCAGCACTCTCTGAATTAGAGATGCCCTAGTAAACCTCTGAGGTAGCAGTATTCCAAGGCTCAAATACACCCTTATATTCATCACTGATCATGTTCTAATAAAATAAAATAGGCTTGCAGAAGGAGGCAGTCTACACTTGGGGAGCTGGAAAGGAAGTGGTGAAATCGCTAACTAAAGACACCACCTGGCCACCTGGTCACTTGCCTCTATTGAGATACACAGGGAAAATGTTATTATGAGAAACCACAGGTTTGCGAGAACTTAAGAACAGGAAAAATCAATTCCCATTTTTGTTTTCAATGTACGTAGGAGTATAAAGAAATATACCAAGATGTGATTTGTTGTTTTCTTCTTTATACTTTTCCTATGCATTTCCAAAATTACCTACCATTAACATCAGAGTTCAAAAACCACAAGTGAACTTTGTTGACAGCATCCCAGAAAATCCCAATGGCTATTTTTCCAGTTTAGAAAAGGAATGATTAAAATATTATTTCGATGATAACAATTCCAGAAGCTAACATTGTCTAGACTGACTGATTGGAGAGGAAGTGGGAAATTAGAGGTAAAAGGCATTGCGATCATTATAATTAGGACTTAAGTGCCCTTGAAGGAGTAAAAAGAATTTATCAAAATTGTAGTGGCCAAAAACAGGTATTGCTAGGCTCACAAGGAATTCAACAGATTTTTAAAAATTCAAATAAATAAGACAATGAAGGATAGAGACTAAATGACCTAAAATATATACCTGAAGGTCAAGGAGAAGGGCATGATCTGACTATGTCAGAACCCCGCACAACATCCCAAAGAGCCAAGTAGGAACATGCTATTTGCACTTAGAGAACAGCCTATAAATAGAGACTTAATCTTCCTGGCTTCAAGTGGCAAGTCACAAATGATAATAAGACTCAATCTTAATCTGATTGTGCCTTTTTCCTTCCTTGCTGATTTAATGCAGGCATTCTCAAACTCTAGACATATCTCTCGTCTCTTCTTAATAGAGGTAAAGGTTTATTTCCATAGTTTTTCACTTTAAAGCTTTAGTACCTATTGTCATTTATAATCAGACCAAAGATAGAATTAAGATAATATTTTGTCTGGGCGCCTGGGTGGCTCAGTTGGTTAAGCGACTGCCTTCAGCTCAGGTCATGATCCTGGAGTCCTGGGATCGAGTCCCGCATCGGGCTTCCTGCTCAGCAGGGAGTCTGCTTCTCCCTCTGACCCTCCTCCCTCTCCTGCTGTCTGTCTCTCATTCCCTCTCTCAAATAAATAAATAAAATCTTTAAAAAAAAAAAAAAAGATAATATTTTGTCAATAACTGAACATTTGTTATCTTGGAGCTCACTTTTTTCTTGTGGCCAGGTGATTTTATATTTTATAGAAATGGCAATTACCTTAGATTAGGACAATTATTCCATGCTCATGGGATGGAAAAAAAATGATATTTTGAGGCTGTTATGGGCTGAATTGTGTCTCCCCCCAAAATTCATATGTGGAAGCCCTAACTCCCCAGTACCTCAGAATGTGACTGCATTTGGAGACAGGGCCTTTTTAAAAAGGTGACAAAGTTAAAATGAGGCCTTTAGGGTGGGCCCTAATCCAACAAAACTGGTGTCCTTCTAAGAAGAGGAAATTTAACACAGAGAGACACCAGGGATTTGCACACAGAGAGGAAAGATCATATGAGGACACAGCAAGAAGGCAGCCATCCGCAAGCCAAAGAGAGAGGCCCCAGAATAAACAAACCTGGCAACACCTTCATTTGGGACTTCAGCCTCCAGAACTGCGAGAAAATAAATTTCTATTGTCTAAGGCACCCAGTCTGTGGTATTTTGTTATGACGGCCCTAGCGAACTGATACAGGGGCATGCCTCATACAGCATGATGTGCTACAAAGAGCTCCATGTTCTTTCACCAGACAAGTGTCAGAATGCCTAACCTCTCCTGAAATGGCAACTCCAAAGGTCTGTCCTACAAAACGCAGTTACAGTGTCCAAGACTAGCAAAGTTTCAGGTTGGAGGAGAAGTCACTTAATGCCAAAGGAAATTTGTACTAGAGAACCATTTTCTTCTGTGGGCTTACTCCCAAGGAAAGGTGAAAAGCACCTAGGCTTTGCAGCCAGATGCATATGCATATGAATTGCGGGTCTGCACTTCCTGGCCGGGTTCATCTCAAGAGAGATTTTTCGGGCACCTGGGTGGTTCAGTTGGTTAAGCGACTGCCTTCGGCTGGAGTCCCGGCATCGAGTCCCGCATCGGGCTCCCTGCTCGGCGAGGAGCCTGCTTCTCCCTCTGACCCTCCCCCCTCTCATGTGCTCTCTCTCTCTCTCATTCTCTCTGTCTCAAATAAATAAATAAAATCTTAAAAAAAAAAAGAGAGAGAGATTTTTCACCTCTTGGGACCTCGGTTTCATCATCCCTAAACCAGCGACAGTATCAAGATAAAAGATTAAAGAAGGTATTCCATCCAATGACTGCCACACAATAGGCCACAAAGCAGAAAATGTTGTCTTCCTCCTCCCTCCTCACACCCCATAATTTATTTAGCTTCCAAAATGATCACTTTTTTCCAGACCACCAGTGCATCTTCCAATAAACAGCTATGTCTCTTCTACCATGCCAACTGATCAGGTAGGCCCAAAGACAGAGGTGGGGAATCTCTCTTCGGAAGTTCTAAGCCTCTTCCAGGGGTTATCTCAGAAAACATCTGCCTCCAAGAACCACGAAAAATGCAGTTCTGTCCACAAGAAGATCCTGAAGTATGACGGGGGCTTCTAACAATCCCCATTGTTACTCCCATCTCACTTCCCCCTACAAAGACAAGTTGAAAGATACTTCCCATCAGGTTCTCACTCGCCTTTACCTTAAAAATCCTCTTGGGAAGCAAAAAGTAGCTGTCTCTAATTCACACACACACACACACACACACAAAAAGGGTTAAGTCTGATTTTAAGGTATCTTCCTTTTTATTCATATATTCATTTATTATTTTTTTAAGTAGGCACCACAGTGGGTGTAGTTTCCTGACCCTGAGATCAAAACCTGACCTGAGATCAAGACTCACACTGGGCTTGAACTCACCGCCCTGAGATGAAGAGCTGAGCTGAGATCAAGACTTGGACGCTTAACTGACTGAGCTACCCAGGCGCCCCTAGGTCTGAGTTTTAAAGCTTAAATCAGAAGCTTGCAAAAATGTGACATTGTCACCTAGATAATTACAACTTTCGGCTTTTAGGCTAAAAAGACATTTAAAAATTAACTAAAAAGAGAAAAGGAGAGGATGAAAATCATATAAAAATTCAAATATTAGGTTTACCCAAAAAGCAGCAGGCCACCATCTGTAGCATAAAAAAACAGTTTCTTGACAGTCCCGTCATCTTGGCAGAGTGAGAACTCAGACTCTAGATTCAGATTAAAATCCCAATTCTACCACTAACAGCTGTATACCACTATCTGGACAAATTAACTCTGTGACTCTCCATTCCCCAACCTCAGAGGGGGAGTAATATAGCCTCTGTCAGAGAGTTGTGAAATTAAGCACATTGCCTGGGTAGCTTTTCTTTGTTATTGCTTTCTGTCATAAACAGCCATGGCCTTCTAGCACGTTTATTATATTTCCAACACCAGGAATAATACCTGAGTATTATACTAACAGAGGTATGACATGACATCTGAATTGACATGCCTTTTAAAAAAGATAAAAAACTAACTGATGGATGGAGGAAAGTGTAAAGGGAAAGAATAATAATTAAAATAAAAGACGAGAATAGTCCACTCTGAGTATGTATGCTAACTCATTAAAGATCTGAAGGTAGGTCAAATCTTAGCCACATAGGAGCAAAAGCAAAAAAAACAAAAAACAAGACCAAAGAATATTCCAATTCAAACTCCACTGAGACTGGAGCATCACGTATGTATCAGTGCTTTCCTTGACCTCTCCTCATTGACCCGCGTAGTAACTCTCTGGGGCGTACTCCGCTACACCCATGTCGGAACTTAAGTGACCTACCCAAGGTCACAGGGCCAGAAATTCAAAGGAACCTGTCCATGCTTCCAGCTTATTCCTCAAAAACAGAGGGAAAAATTAGTCTATTAACATTCGTTATCTGTCCATCGCCTGTGTTATCTGGTTAGATTAGATAATATACATACCACTGCCTTCTCTACTGATCCTATATTTATATTCTCTTCCCATCTTTCTTTCCCTGTAATCATGAGCCTTAGGCCAATGCATAGCAATCCTTCACCACCCTCACCTCCATCAACTTCTGTGGTTGAAAACGGCATTTTTTAATCTTAAATCCATCCATGTTCCTGTTTGGGATAAACATGAAAACTTCACACACACACACACACCCCCTCCCAGAGATTCCAATACGTATATCCTACCATCCAAATGTCCCCACCCCAAAGTTTTACCTTTCATTGTTTGAATTCCTAGAACAATTTTCCCAATATAAAGTTGCAATAATGCTGTATATACTCCTTAGAAATCATGATATACCCCTGGAAAATCACCAGTTTAGAGAAAGAAACAACCAAATCCGGTGAGAACTAAAAGCTAAGGAATAATGAGTAACAGAAGGACTGGGCCTTGCACAGAATCGACAAAAAGGCAGGGTATTTGTCCAGGACTAAAAATGTCCTAAAACTAAACAACCAGCACAGTTTTTAAAGGAATTATCCCTATAGTCAGGAAAAGCGATCCACTGTGCTGCCTAACTGAAATGTCTGTGAAACATCTAAGGCTGTTCTAGCTGAAGGACAAGCAGCAGCCCTGGGTCACCATTTCCCTCTCCTGTGCCTAAAGCAGACACCACTATGGGATCACAGCTCCTTCCTGAGGAGCCCAGCTGCTCCCAAACACAGGCGCTCCAGTCAGCGACAAGTCAGAGTTGGCCCCCAAAACGATCCCAAAAACGATGGGGATCATCACTCTGACCCAATAACTTACTCTAAGCAAAGAGGGTAGTTCCTTAGGCTGCCATCTACCTGGTTTCCAAGTAAGTGGTCTATCTCCCAGTAACAAGCTAGATGGACAAAAAATTAAAACTTCAGGCCCTACCTAACTGAAGACCAGATCCTGAACTGGATACATCCCCTCCAAGTATAGTAGCTATTTGCCAGGCTGACAGCAACTAGCTGGTCTCCCTCCTTGACATCTCTTTCGTTGTACCTTTAATTATTAAAGCAAGACATACTGGAGTCAGCCACTGGAAGCCAGTGTGTGGGATTTACCTTTACTCCAGTCTAACTTGGGATATAAATTCCAAAATACACTGCTGTACAAGGGAACAACTCAATCATTTCAGAGTTCTGAGGAAGAGTTCTGAACACCAGCCAAAGAGGATCATCTGCGATGGGGAGAGTATTGGAAGAGGATCTAGCAGTAAGAGGCAGCCTAAGAAATCCACAGCACAGCGTGACCAAGTTCAGAGTATGAAGTCAATAGGAAAGGTTAAAAACTGCACAATATCTCCCAGGCAGAAACAACAGAACTTTTAAAACATGAGGGCTGAAGATGAAGAATCAAATATAACTTCAAAGACTAGACAGAAAAATAGCCACAAAAAGAAAGTGCAACAAAAATCCGGGGCAAAACAGGAGATTAGCAGGTAAGAGAGTTGCAGGAGGTTAGTAGGTGAGAGATTAGCAGGTAAGAGAGTTGCAGGAGGTTAGTAGGTGAGAGATTAGCAGGTTAGAGATGTGGATCTGAGAGCCACCCCACTCACTGAGGGAGAAAAAAGCCAGGTCCTGAGGGCAGACCGAAGATAAGGACAGAAAAATGAGAACCTGCATTAGACAGTCCTGTAGAAGTTAGAGAAAAAAAGGATGCTAGAGTCTAAATAATAATATTATTCATTTAATTAATAGCAGCAAACACTGTTTAGCACCTAACACCTACAGGCACCCTTCTAAAATGCTTGACATGTTAACCCATTAAACAACCCCATAGGGGTGCCTGGGTGGCTCAGTCAGTTAAGCCTCAGGTCCTGATCTCAGGGTCCTGATCTCAGGGTCCTGGGATCGAGGCCCAGCCTCAGGCTCCCTGCTCAGCGGGGAGTCTCCTTCTCCCTCTGCCCCTCCCCCTGCTCATGCTCTCTCTCTCTCTCATTCTGTCTCTCAAATAAATAAAATCTTTTTAAAAAATAACCTATGGAAATAGGTGTTATATAATTATTCCTATTTTATAGATGAGGAAAATAAAGCACAAGAAGTAGGTGAATTCCCTAAGGTCACAAAATGAGAAGCGGAGCTGATTTTGGAACCAAATCTAAGCAAATCTGTATCCAGAGTCTGTAGTCCTCATCACTAGACTACAGGTCCTCTCCTCAGTTAAGACTCCTGTCTCCACTTAATTCAAGCAAACCACTGAACTTCTCTGAGTCTTTGTTTCCTCGCCCGGAAAAAAGGGGTAACACTGGCCCTCCCTACATTCCCAAGGCTATGGGGAGCATCTGATGAAAGAGCAGAGGGGAAAGCCCTCTGTGATTTGATTAAGCTCTGTGCGAGGGTGAGCTGCTCACCTGCTCACCAGGCTCACCTCCATCTAACACGTTTCTTTGCAGAATTTGGAAGCAGGAGTGCAGGGAGAACAGAGGTCAAAGAATATACATTTTCAATGACATTTCAAGTGCTTTTGGTTAGATAAAATTTCCATGACTCCATTAAAATATAATCAGATTTCTCTCTACCGCCCAGCAATTGGTTTCTTATCTTGAGCATAAACTGGAACATGATGCCTCTCTGGACAGCATGCCTTAGTACACGAAAGGACCTCTGAAACCTGGGGCTATAAAAACTAAGGGGAGTGAAGGGACAGCTGCACTACATAATGGATATAAAGAAATCTATAATATAAAAGATTGTTATTCTAATCAGTAATAATAATAATAACAATAAAGCCGTGGGTGAGGGTGGTTCTGTATCCAACTAGGGGAACAACAAGGTGGTCCCGTGGTCTCAGCCCGGATCCCTCCACTCTGCGGAAGTAGCCAAGATGCTGTCTTCGCGCGACTGCGGGGGACAAACTGAAACGCGCACCCCTCGGGACCGCTGACCTTCCAAGATGGTCCCCTCGCCTCAACTCGGCTCTCAGCAGCTCTACTCGCGGCCACCACTGCCCCGGGGTCTCTCTCCCTAAAGCCCTCAAAGGTGTTGGGGCGCCGCATCCCCCCCGGCACTCACCTCTAAAGTTTTCACCAAGATCTTCATGTAGATCTCGGAGATGCCCAAAGACACCCCGAAAGCCGAAGGCAGGAGGATGAGGCCGAGCACCAGCGCCAGCCAGGTGGAAAGGACCTTCCCGGCCAGCTCTGCGCCCTCCATGGCTGGGAGCACCGTCTCGGAAGGGGTCCACGGAGGAGGTCCGAGCGCGACAGCTGTCCCTGTCCCCAGGCTGTCGGGCAGCAGCTCCGGGAGCAGAGGCGCGGAGCCGGGCTCCGGAGAGTCAGCGCCGCCGCCTCCTGACACTCACCTCTGCAGGGAAAGAGGAAAGGAAGGAAAAAACTTTCAGAACGACGGCAATTTCCTTCCTTCCCCTTCGGGCTCCTCCCGGCCCGGCCGGTTAACTCTTTCTCCGCTGGAGGCCCAGGCCAGCGCCGAAGCCACCGCAGCGGGCGCAGACCTGGTCGCGCCGGCCGGACGACAGGAGCCGGGGTGAGCGAAGTGACACCGCGGCGCGGGCAGGAGGGCAGCGCAGCCGGGAACGCGCCCCACCCTAGTGCCTAATTTCCTCTGGGTGGCGACTGCGACGACTCAACGGCTGACTCACCGAGGCCCTCCGGAGCGCGGATCCCTGCGGGCGCACCGCACCACTGCACACCCGCCGCGGCTGGAACTGGCGCCAGGCGGAGCACTGCGCTGGGGCGAGCTGCGCTCCCGCGCCGGGCGCCCTATTTCTGCGCCCTGCTCTCGCCCCACCTCCCCCGCCATCCAACAGGGAGCTTCCAGGTTAGATCTGCACGGCCAGCGCCGCAGCCCCCCGCCACGCCCCGGCGGCCTCCCTTCTCCCCCGCGCCCCGCCTCCGCCAGCACGCCCAGCCAAGGGCCTTTAGGGAGAAGAGCTTTCTGCAAAATGTTAGCATTTCTTCACCCCAAAATGAACTCCTGACTTATCCGGGACGCTTGAGAAGGTCATGTTTGTATGGCTGTAAAACCACCTCTTTAGAAGGGCTTTCAGGGAGAGGGAAAGGCACAGAGCGCCGCTGAGCTGCCGTTTGCGCCGCTTCCAGGTCTCCCACGCCTCCTTCCCCTCTCTCCGCTGAGCAGCTGTGCGACTCTCTCTTACTCGCCGGGAGAGGGAAAAGCTCTCTCCCGGAGACGCCTACCCCACTCAGCCGCCATGTCCTTGGCACAGGAATCCTTCGGCTGAGGGTCGCTCTCTTCCTGGGGGAAGATTCCAACCACGGCTGGCCCTACCGCTCATCCAACACTCTCAGCGCACGGAAGCTGCAGACAAATGCCAGGCTAGCTCAAATCTGCACCAAGCTGCCTTGCGCCTCCCGGGCATTCAGTACGCCCCCCAGACCCCACCCCCACCCCCACCCCCGCACTGCTGCCGTGCTAGCGCTTACTAGAACGGTGAAGGGCAAAACGCTCTATGGCTATTTGCGACCTGATCGGTTCTTAAGAATGAACATAAGATGGGATGTCGAGACTGTAGGAGATAAGATCAGGCTGCCCAGGGCTTCCAGATCATTACCGAAAGAGACCAAAATCTCACACACAGGTCTCTTTCGGGTGTTACTTCAAGCTGGAAAAACTGGGAGGGCAAGCAAACTGAATTGAAGCAGGGTTGATAGCAAACACTTCAAAGAAAGTTGCCCCTGCCCAGGGTGTGGAGGAAACGGGGCGCAGAAAGGAAGAGAGAAACCCCAAGGCAAAGAATGTAAATGTTTCTTCTCTGCACCTCCTGCCAGGTGTGTATCACAAACCTCCTCCACCGCTAAGAAAGAAAACAATTATGACTTGGTCATAAGAACCAAGCTATGAATGAAGAAGCTTTGGTTTCTCTGTGTGTCCTGCCAATTTACAAAAACAAGGAAGACACAATTGCCAAAATCTGTCCCAAGGGCTGAAAACAAACACATATTTAGCATAAAACCTCAAAGATTATATTGACTCATTTAACACGTACACTTCAGGCAAAATTCTTACTCTCCTTATATTTCCTCAAAGGAAGGTGACTAAGGAATGCTGAATGATTGTACCAAAATGTACCCAACAAACACCCTGTGCCCGCAACTCAGCGTCAGGATGGCTTCTTCTACCCAGCCAGACACAGGTGCTGGGGGCCCACAATCCCTAGTCATTTCTGTCGCTCACTACCAAACTCCATGAACTGGTTTTGGTTTGGTTTTGGTTTTTTCACTATTGTGGAAGAATTACTGTCTCACAACAGAATGGTAGAATGGTAATAACATGGAATTTGTGGTCTTAGGTTGACTGCAGCACAGACAACTCTAAGTTTGAGTTTTTAGTCCTTCTGTACTTCAGCTTTCTCATCAGTAAAATGGACTCATTTTTGGGTCAGATGTGATTGTGAGTTTGAAACTATTTTGTTTAACAACAAAGCTCTCCGCAGAGATCAGAAGGCAAGTTGGTGCAAGTGCAAAAGCTCTCTATCTTTTTCTTGCCTAAAACACAAAAGAACCAAGATAGGCTCACTTTTGCAAGTGATGAGGGAGAGGGCGGGGAGGAGAGAGAGGGTGGGTGGTCCCAATGTTCCCTGCACTCACCTCACCTCTCCCCTCTCCTGCAGCCCTTAAGGCTCTTTCAATTACACCTAAGTAGGACCCTCCTTCCTTTCATGCACTTAGAACTCCCTGCACTTACTCTATTAGCTTCCTAGGGCTACCTTGTAACAAGTGACCACAGACTTAATGACTTAAAACAACAAAACTTTATTTTCTCAGTTCTGGTGATGAGAAGTCTGAAGTCGAGAAGTCGAGGTGTCTGCAGGGCCAAGCTCCTTCCAAAGGCTTGGGAGGGCGGAGGGGAGAAATGACACGCAATCTTTCCTTGCTTCCTCTTGCTTCTGGCGGCTCCCAGCATTCGCTGGCTTGTGGCAGCACCACTCCACTCATTGTCTCAGTCTTCCTAAGTCTCTTCTTCCCTTCTCTTCTCTGATAAAGACATTGTCATCCTGGATTTAGGACCCACCCTCATCCAGGGTGATCTCATCTCGAGATCTCTCACTTAATTATACTTAATCTTCAAAGATCTTTTTTTCCAAATAAGGTCACATTCACAGGTTAGGACTTGAGCATGTCTTTTGGAAGGCTACAGTTCAAGCCCCTACACTTATCATCTCTGTAAACTGAGATAATAACACCCACTTGGAGAGATTGTTATTGGGATTTGAGATTATATTTTAAAAATTGACCTGATAGTAAAATGCTCAATCCTGAGGTTGTTTTTTTTTTTGTTTTTTGTTTTTTTTTAAAGATTTTATTTATTTATTTGAGACAGAGAGAATGAGAGGGAGGAGGGTCAGAGGGAGAAGCAGACTCCCTGCCGAGCAGGGAGCCCGATGCGGGACTCGATCCCAGGACTCCAGGATCATGACCTGAGCCGAAGGCAGTCGCTTAACCGACTGAGCCACCTAGGCGCCCCAATCCTGAGGTTGTTTAGAAGAATCCTGTTTTCCACCTTTTGTCCTGGCACATATTTTAATAATGCTTCCTTTCACTCTTGAAAATACCCTGGTTTGAGTGGTAAATCACATGGTTCCCTTCGGTTTACATAGTTTCTAAGATCCTTCCCAGTCCTAAAATACTAGATTCTTTGACAAAAATCAGTGTCAAGTCTGTGTGACCCCTTGTCAACACCTGAGGCCAAATGAGGTTGTGTTAGGGAATGAAGGAAAGAGAATAGCATCTAATTAACATCTCAAACTTCAATGTGGGTAGAAATCCCTGGGGCTCTTGTTAAAATGCAGGTTCTTAGCAGGGTTGGGATGGGGTCTGAGATTCTGCATTTCAGTGAACTCCCAGGTGATGCTAATGTTGTTGGTCTAGGACACACTTGAGTAGCAAGTCCTTAGAGTATGGACAAACAGAGGAGTTTCACATTTAACTGATAACACGAGAATGCGACGGTCCAGCTAAATCTCTGGGAGTCAACACAAAAAGAATTGATTCCCAAGAGCTGGCAGCCCTTATCTGAGGACTCATTTTGTGATTTTACATCTTCTTCGTACCCTTGCTTTGACAGCAGTTGTGGGTAATGTGAACAGAGGAGTTTAGGTTAACAAACTTTGAGCAAATGTCAATACTCTCATGAATAGATGCCTATGGCAAATAAGATGCCATAGTTGAAGCCAAATGATGAATATTGATTTAACATAAGAGGTAGGGTAGAAATGAGAAATCTGGAGGTGAAGCAGATTGCTGAAGCATCTTATTAAACAGACAAGTTTTGCAATTCTTGTCTCTAGTCTTGGTATGAGACCTCCCTTTTCTCTGATTTCACACCTTTCTTGGGTCTTCATCATCTCCTGCCTTGATTCCTGTGTTTGCTTTACCGTTCCACTGTACACTGCTTACTATCAGGAATCTTTTCATTCATCTGTAACTCCCTGCCCATTATCCACTCCTCCACCAGCACAGAATTTTACTTCATGCCACACTGTTGTTCAAAGCCAGTAGTGTGACCCTAATGGTCACTAAGTAAAGTCCAAATGTCTTGGGCTAGTTCTTGAAGCACTCCAATTTTAACTCCCATCACCCTCCAGCAAAATCTTTCTCACCTCCTTCTGGTTTCTGTGGGGTTTCTTCTTCTCTGGGTCTTTGATCACATCACAGTTCCCCCTCCCCATGCCCCCCAACATCCCCTCCAACACCCATACCATGGACCTGCGCTAAAACTCCATCATTCACCTGACCTCCATAAGCTTCTATTTTCACTGATAAACCAGAGTGACATTTTGGGTCTCTAGGAGTTAGTGTCAATTCAGAAACAGTCACCAGTATTCCCAGAAAGGCTGATTATTTCCCTTTCTTCAGTGCGCAGTCACCTTGATAAATGGCCTTAGGTCTTCTGGTAGAAGACCAGGAGATAGATTAACAGTATAACACTTTGGGCAGTCTTCAAGGGGACCCAGCCTCCCCTTCTTTCAAATGGCTCTGGGTCTGTAAACTGGCTCAAGTTTGGGAATTAACTGAGGGACCAAGACTATCTGTTTTGTGATTCAAAGTAAGCTTCTGTTGACTAAACCTAGGAGTCTTCCATTTATACAGAATACAAGTGAGAATTTAATACACAGCCTATTTCTTTTGATCAGCTGGTCAACACCAGAGGTTTCTTGGAGTCAGCCTATTCTGGTTACTACTCTGACTCTGCTGTCCATTACAGTCATCATACTCACCTTGTCTGTGGCAGTTAATTGCGGCCACTTGGCCCCTGTCTTCCTAGAGTCCCATTATCCCCATTACGTTTAAGGGCCCCATTTCGATGGTAGCAGTTCCCACTGTAAACTCTAACCTCCAGAAAAAAACAACCAAAGAGCTCTTCAAGGATCCTGGGGCTCCCTTTCACAAATTTATTTCTCACCGTTGAAGAAAGAGGTATGTCTTTGTATCTTCCTAAGATGAGTGGTCAGGGGGCACCTGGGTGGCTCAGTAGTTAAGCCTGAGCCTTCGGCTCAGGTCATGATCCCAG